TGTGTTGCCTCTGGTAGCTCTGGCTGAGCTGGGATATAACAAACACAAAAGACGTTCTAGTCTGGTTTTAGTCGCTGAAAAACTTCTGAGCATTTTTCTGTCATGTGTTGTTAGTTTTTCTGCCCTCTGCGCATTGTGAGGCTCCAGCTGTCACCATCTTTATTGAGTGCATTCCTCATGGTTACAGGTTTCATTCTCATCTCTCACAAACTTAGTGGAAAAAGGCGCCTGTTTACTTCTCTCACACAGTGTCCGTGTCACTCTGCTCTGCTGCAGTACAACAGGCCGACTCTCCTCGCCAGAGCCACCGGTTCTGTCGCTGCTACAGAGTGGAAAATCACTCGTTTCACTCGTTTGTTCACGAAAATATTGTCCACTGTCTGGGTTTATTTTCAGACCAGAAGGTAAAACATCAGACAGAGTGGAGATATTTCCTCAGAGAACATCTGGAGGATGATTTAGGTTATTGACTGCTGACATTAATCCTGGAATACACCCGTTCGTTCTCATAGCAACACAAAACTGCCACAGCGAAAGCAATGAACAGCAGTTAATTAGATATGCTTTAATAACCTTAGCTGTTTAAAAGTTGCCATGCTGTCTGTATCTTTTTGTGGTTTGTCTCAGCTGTTTTGCAGCTAAATAACACCTGGGACAAAGACGGAGCATTACAGAATGAAAGATGCTTCTTATTAATAGTCGCGCATCAGGTCCAGTAAATAAATCAGTTCGAAACAAGATCCTTCACTGTGTGAATCCACATGCACATGCAGGTCAGGCAGTTTCCTGGTGTTTTTATTCACTGTGGGCTCGTTTTTCACTGCGATAATAAAGTCCTGCACCTCTGGAGAAACCATGAATAGAAGGAGAAAGAACTCAAAAATGTGCAGCATAACAAAGGTGTAAAGACAGGAAGAGGAAACAATAAAGTCGACACTGCTTGATTATTTATCCTACAAAAATTGATAATAAACCTGGAATCAACATGTACAGCATTTTTCCAACTGCCCTCAGGTGTGACCAATACTGGAAATCTCAGATATTTTACTTCTTCCATGTTTAATTTGTTTCTGTACTTGTCTCTGAGCTGCTCGGTGTAAACACTGCCTGCAGTTCAGTGAAGTTCAGACCACAAGTCTGTCACTAATGGCTTCAAGGTTGCACTGAAGACTGTTAAATGTTCTGCTTTTTACAGAGTAAAGTCACTTGAAAGGGTTAATTTTCAGCAAAATCTTAAAGGACACCTATAGAATTGAGTAACTGAGATGAACTACTATGATTTTACGCTTAGATTTGATTACGTGTTAGAATGGAATGGCATAACACAGTGGATTAGACGTAACATGTCTTTCAAACCCGCTGGTGGTCTTTAGGCTCAGAAGTCAAAAAGATTTTGCTCTAAAACTTATAAAAATAGTAAAACTGGCTCATTGGTCTATTTGTGTGACTTTCATATTATCATTTAGTTTGTATTTGTTGATGAAAATTGTAATACATTGTGTTGTAATTCTTGTTTTTAAAAGGTATTTTTTTATCCGTTTGTCAAAAAACACAGTTTCTCATAGTTTTCATCACCAATGTTTACATAATGCATACATGGAAGAAGTCGTACAGACCTTTTCTTGGCTTCTGATAAGAGTCGAACAGAATTTGTCTCAAACGATGTCACTTCCTGTCCGAACACTCCCAAGTCCTTCCACTGCTCCTCGTACTTCCTGTTAAAATAGGGAACACAGTTGAGAAGATTTACTTTCGTGATAATTGCACTAACATCAACTTTGGCGTCGCTCCACTGTGCTGGTGTTGTTCAAATCTCCAAGATTTAACTTCTGCGAGATCCGCAATCTCTCAAAAGCCTCTGGCTGCGATTGGTCACGCTCTACTAAGAAGACAGAGCAGGTAAACAGATGTGTGTAGCTTACCGTTTTAGATCAAATCTGCTCTGAGGAGGAACAGATTAAATACCGCCTGAACTGTGGTTGCCGTATGTTGTTCAGACTTAGGCTTTTTCTTTGTATCAGTTTCTGGCTCCTCTAAATTTTTACCCCTTTTCCATTAACGACTTTCAAATCCTCATGTGTTTTCCGGTTTTAAGTGTGGCACCCGATATTTTTACACAGTGTAGGATTGTGTACAACGCCTAAGAGTGTTGCCTCCGCGTAACAGCACACTTAATGATCGGTTAATCAATCTGTGCTGAGTAAATATCTCTCTTCATTCTGCCGTGTAAGGCTTCCCATGGGAACCCAGTGTACACATGTCCGGTGGGTTTTTTATTACTGTTCTGTCTACGCAGAAATCCATGCTGCAACCAATGTGCGCTAATTAAAGATGCTGTCAAGCGGAGGCGTCAATGAGCCAGTGGCAGAGTGTTTGTGGCTGTGGCAATACAGCCTGGAGTTTTTCTACCATCCGAAATGCATGTGAGCGAGCCCCATCTGTTTTCTTTTCGGGGGGGCGCGCGCAGGCAAAATCCCAAATGTAGTTTTTAGTGATATGACACAGTGAAGTTTTTTCCCCCCTCGAGGCTCCACAACAGACCTTTGAAATGCTCCAATGGGATTATCATTTAGGGAAAAGTGATGGTTGTGTGCAGCGCGATGGATGCTCGGCGAGTTCACAGAGTCGTTATTGGAGGTGATGGGAGCGGCGGCGGCGAGTCTTTTGCTCTGAGGATTGGAGGGATTTATTTATAGCGCACATTTCCACATTGTGTGTGTCTTCATTCATTTTCGTACACTCACTGCCGTAGACCTCATTCACCTCTATTCCTTTTTTTTCCCTCCCCTTCTGCTGCTCTACTTCCTTACTGACATTCTTGCATATTCATGGACACCCTCATTCTTGAAAGTGTCTCTTCTTTGGTACTATAAGCAAAGTTTTCGGCAACACGGCGTTTGGTTTTAATTCAGCAGGATTTGTCTATAACACACTATATAAATATGTATATTTTATATTAACAGTCACAGGGTTCATAATAGATTGGTAGAAAGTTGGAAGAATTATTGCAACTAGACAGAAACCTTGAAAGAAAGTCGCCCAAGATTGTCTAACTCTCAGCTATTCAGAAGCAGATGAGTAATTTCTTGACATTTCATTCAAATAACACACTTAAGTTTATGCAGTCTCGGAGGAGGCACGTGATAGGCTCTCTGAGTGCTTTCTAGTAGCCACCAGGTAATTGTCATTAGAGCAGAGCCATTAAGACTGTGCTACTGTATGCTCTACTGCATGCACAGTAATTCATGGTACACATGAATTAGTGTAGTAAATTACAACCACGTTATCACATGTAACAGAGTAGAGCGATGCAAGCCCCAGAACAACCTCTGCACGCTGTTCTACTCCTACTATCATGCGATTCCTGCAAAGAAGACAATGGCAACACTGTGCACAAATATTCAGACGCTGGTAAAATATAGTCTTTTTTTTTTAAAAACACAAGAAAGTCAAGAGCTACCTGCTGTTACTGAGGTGTAGCGGTTTGGGATTGCAGATCATGTGAGACAGTGCATGTTTGCAACCCATTTTAGCATGAAATTGTCACTGTGCTGTGTGACAACCTCCAAGTCGTGGTATAATGATGCATAATAATGCTTTCTGCCTACCATATGCCACACAATGGAGGGATTTTCTGCAGTTTATTTTTGTTAGCTCGCAGCTTACAAGAGCAATTCAGCACACAGAAATAACAAGTGATTTACTGAACACATAATGCATCAGTCCTGGAACTTTACTTTATATCAAAGCTCCACTTCATATTTAAGCTAGTAATGAACAATTACAAGAGTCATTGCACAACCGTTTATATACTATTCATTTACAGCTTTCTGGGGACTTGTCAGTGTTAATATATTTACGGTGATTACAATGTGCAGCACATGACTTGCATCTTCAATTCGTAAGGGTTTGCCGTCGTCATTATTGTCTCCCTCTGTCTATGCACCTTTCATAATGCCTGTCCAATCTGTGTGTCCAAAATATTCTTTCCCAACCTCATGTATACAGAGCTGCTCATCCTACCAGTAATATGATGCATTTCTGTTTTGGTATTCAGGTCATTCGCTCGCTGTCACTTTCCAAACCTTGTCCAAAGTCAAACAATACCTTCCTATGCATGTACAAACCAAATCAGAACATTCAGAGTGTGTGTGCGTGTGCTCCTTTATTTCTGATCTTGTGAAGATTTATTTTCATTTAGGACCTTGAGAGCGAGGACATTTTTATTATTTTTTATTCTGACTCCTTGGAAGGACTATTTTGCGAAGGAATGTATTGCGTCAGTCAGGGTCCTCGCTAGTGTAGCAGTACAAATGTGTTTGTCCTACCTGCAATCATCTCCATCTGAGCGCAGTTCTGTCAGAAGCCAACATTAAGTCAACCGTTTACAAGTTATATTTAGGCATGCACAAATTAATGCTAATGTTTAATGCTAATGTGATGAATATTATTTCCTTGCTCTGTCAATATGTGCTGTCTCACTTTAGCAACCCATGTGAGCGGAGATAGGTGAAGGTATTCTTTGTGTATGCATAATACATGAGGAGACTTGTAGCCTTAAGCTTGTGGAAAAACTGCACTTTAAAAGAAAAGAGGAAAATATTTGTTATGCAGAAAGAAAGGGAAAAACGTCAGCTAAACTGAAGACACAAGGGCCTGTCAACTTCCATTTAATAATGTCATAAAAATACACTGTTAAAAAAAAAGAAGGTGTTTACCATGGAATTACCTTTCTGCAGTAATCCCTCACAGTTTACTCATTGATTTGTCAAATCTGTCGCCGAACATGAGAGTAGACAGCTGAGGCGACGTACTAAGACATGAATGGAGCTTTGTTGTGCGATATGAATGTCCTTAGCCTGAACTGACTGAGACCCGAACAGAGCCCTTGATGTGTCCCTTGACATATGGTGTAGTCAGAACGTATTACAACAGTGACATATCTTTTAACATGGACTTTGTACCGCAGCATGTAGAATCTGAAATCAAACCCGCCTGTAATGTTAAAGGTCTGGCTGTCAGCTTTAATTTGAAGGTGTTTACATCAAGCGCAAGTGAAGAATGTTGTACTCTTTGCCCATAAAAATCCTAGCCTGCATGGTTGTCTTGCTCTGCTGTCCAAAAAAAATCGCAGGACTATGTATAGAAACAGGCCAAAGTCCAAGAGCAGCTTCGCAAATCTGACAGACATTTGCATGGAGGTTAAGGTCGCCATTGATCCAAACAACAAAGTATTTATATTCATAGACAAGTGCAATAGAGGCTCCATTCAAGATTGACAGCAAAGATTAGTAGAGATTATCTGTTGCTCCTGTTTTGAAAGAAAAACTAAAATTGTCAGTCCAAAGCTGCAGTTGTGCCAAGGCCAGTTTAATAACTGACCACTATGATAAAGGACTGTGTCATCGCCGTAGAATGACACAGTACGTGATACAGTGCTGAAAAGTGATTTTTATAATTAACAGGACAACAACCAAATTAGATAATTAGGGGTTGCTTGATCAAGTATGGAGCTCAAGCCCTGACATACTTGACAGTATAATCTAAATCATAAATAGATCCTCTTAATTTTTGACAGAAAGAATCTGAAGAGGCATTAAGTTCTTGAGACCCTTTTCTGAGTACAGTGCAGTATGATTCTCAAAATTTTGAAAAAAAAAAATGCTTAAAGATTGAAGTCTTTAACTCTTGAGTCTTTGGGAGTATTGCACTGCTGTTACACCTAACTTTTGTGTAATAAATGCAGACATACCAGTTTGTGGTATGCCATACCAGTTTGTGGAATATTGTGAGTTCTTTCATGCATTTCCGAGAAAAGGTGCAGACAACGGTGCAGACTGAGCTTATCTCAAGTAGATTTTGTGGAAGATTTTTTCTTTTACAAAAACAAAGTGTGCCTGAGTTTGTTTTTCAAATAAACTCAGGGTCATACGAGTCTTTGCAAATCGTGGCAAACCTTCAAAACTAAAAAAAATTAAAAGAATCTTTTCTCATCATCCATTGAATCGTTGCTACTCTACAATTAAGCAGTGAGCCTCCCAGGTTCATAACCTTAACAGATGTGTAGGATGTTTATCCAGATGTTCAGCATTCATGAGAAGTCTGTGTGCAGAATATTAATATGCTTGAAGAGAGCTACTTCTCAATAAGTGCACTTTAGTGGAAACCAGTGTCATGACCTGTGTGACAGGAAGACTAGAAAGGATGCAAAGATGCACAGTCAAGATTCTTGCTTTAGTGCTTCAGGAATAAAGCAGCCGTAGCAAATGAAGGAGCTGAAAAACCACTTTTAGGCAGCAGCTATTGTTCCAGTTGCATCAGTGTGGAGGTAATTTTCGCAAAAGTCAGTATTTACAAGATTATGTCTCCCAAATTTTGACTCTGAACATATGGTCCTCACCATTGTTGGTGATAATAAGAAGAGAAGACAGACTGTCCCTAGTGAGACCATGCTGATATGTAATTTTTCATTAAACATAAGAGGAGCAAATAATTGACATCTGTATCTTCTATTACAACAGATTTCACATTCAGGTCTTTTCAGCACATGCATTCAGCTTTTCCTTTGAATTTCAGTTTTTCCATCCATGTAATTCAGCTCTTCCGGTACTATTTAACAAAGTTACCTTTAAATTATCCCTCGCATTGTATATCTGTTGATTCCTTTTGGTTTGACAGAATGCTGAATTTCAGTTTTGTACATGCTTTATTTGAAAATAGATCTTGAAATGTAACTTGTTCTTCAGTCACTTCCTTAAATTCCTCTATCTTTCTGTCTTATATTCCCTCATAGGTCCATTGCTGTGTGATGGGCGATTGACACACCTCCTCTTTCCTCTGCTCCTCCTCTTACGGGCACCCCTCCTATTCAGCTTTGGTGAGCGCACTTGCCCCAATTTTTGCCGATGTGAAGGAAAAACTGTCCATTGTGATTCGTCTGGATTTTTAGATGTCCCGGAAAACATCTCGGTGGGCTGCCAGGGCCTCTCCCTGCGCTACAATGAACTGCATACCCTGCTACCGTATCAGTTTGCTCACCTCAGCCAGCTTCTCTGGATATACTTAGACCACAATCAGATTTCAGCTGTTGACAGTCGAGCGTTCCAGGGGGTCCGCAGGCTTAAAGAGCTAATACTGAGCTCCAACAGGATCACGTCCCTACACAATTCAACATTCCATGGAATTCCCAACCTTCGCAGTCTGGACTTGTCCTACAACAAGTTGGAAATCCTGCAGCCAGGTCAATTCCACGGGTTACGAAAACTACAAAACCTTCACCTACGCTCAAATGGCCTCTCCAACATCCCAATACGAGCATTCCTGGAGTGCCGAAGTTTGGAGTTTCTGGATTTGGGCTATAACCGAATCAAGGCTCTCACTCGCACCACCTTTTTGGGGCTACAGAAGCTAATGGAGTTGCATCTGGAGCATAACCAGTTCTCACGGATCAACTTTTTTCTGTTTCCACGCTTAGCCAACCTGAGATCACTGTACCTGCAGTGGAATCGCATTAGGGTGGTCAACCAGGGCCTTCCATGGACTTGGTATACGCTTCAGAAACTTGACCTTTCTGGAAATGAAATCCAGACACTGGACCCAGCTGTGTTTCACTGCTTGCCCAACCTTCAAGTCCTAAACCTGGAATCCAACAAACTATCCAATGTGTCTCAAGAGGCGGTGTCAGCATGGATCTCACTGACCTCGATTAGCCTTGCTGGCAACATGTGGGATTGTGGAACCGGCATTTGCCCCCTTGTCGCTTGGTTGAGGAATTTTCGGGGCAGCAAGGACACCACTATGATATGCAGCAGCCCAAAGTATCTCCAGGGGGAAAAAATCATGGAAGCCACAAGGAACCATGGTATTTGTGAGGAAACCGATTACATTCTGACTGAAACACCCTCACCGATGTCGGAGCTCATTTCTGAAGCCACTGCTGAACCAACCTTTGCCCCGACTAGCGGATCTCCACCTCTGCCGCCGACGAACACCTTTGGTCCTATCCCGCCATTCAGACCTCGGCCTATTCCTCATCCTACCTTTCCGGGGCATATGAGCAAAGACCCTAGAGACTCAGTGGTTCGCCCTCGACCCACTCACATACCACCCCCTGAGATGGAGCACATGACTCTGCACAAAGTGGTGGTGGGCAGTGTGGCACTCTTCTTCACCATGTCCCTAATCTTGACAATTATCTATGTGCTGTGGCGGCGCTACCCAGGTGCGACCAGGTTGCTGCAGCAGCGGTCCATGGTGGGACGGAAGCGTCGCAAAAAGAGTCCCGAGCCAGAACAGAACCTCAGCTCCCAGCTCCAAGAGTATTACATGAGCTACAACCCTGCTGCCACACCAGAAGCATTGGAGGTGCTGGGCAATGGCACTGGTTCCTGCACTTGCACAATTTCTGGCTCCAGGGAGTGTGAGGTATGATTCAGCGCCACAGCCCTAAAAATACAAACTCAAAATCAAAATACAAGGCTCAACAGAGAGGTAAATCCTTTATGCCCTGTAAAAAAACACTTTTGAATCACAGTTAAGCACCCTTGACTCTTCATTCATAACACGCTTGACTTCAAATGTTAGATGTGTCCAATTATTCTAAAATTTTACTTTTAAATGGAACCCCAAAGTGGAAAATAGAAAACAACTAATCTGATCCCGCAGAAGAAATCTACAACATGGGTTCAGCAGACCGCATTATAACAATAACACAATACAGTCCTTTGTGTTCTCGGAAGTTAATTGAGTGTGGCTTTAATTACTGTTCTTTCGCACGGCATTTGTCTCTGTGTTATTATCTAAATTTTGCCTTCAAAGTGACACTTTTGGAAATGTTCTTCATGGTATTTTGACCCGAAGAGACCAACAATAATTGGACATTGTCTAACCGATTTGTTGACACCACTCCACATTAGCATGGCATGGCTCACGTGTTTTATGAAAAGTTGCTTGGTTTGTGTGCTGTGTGTTTTTTGGGGAGGTTTGAGGGTGAAGTGTGTGTGGACTAATACATTAATGTTGCCCAAAGAACCTTATGTGTCTGTCTGGGTTTAGGATTTGATGCTACCAATTCACAATTGCAGAATTATGCTCTTTGTACAAACATTATCAGCAAATTCAAAACGGTTCTGATGCATTGGTTCTGATCAGTCACAATTTGACTTTGCTTTCACCTGACAAAGCAAGTGAACCTTTTCTTAAATGTAAAAGTGGAATATATCACAAGTGGAACATCCTTTATAGATGTCTGAGGTTTGTCATCTGAATGGTCATGTGTATCTTTGCCCTGCAACTGCCCTTCAGTGCAAATTTCCTCACTTGGGGAGATTTATAATAATCTGCACAGAAGGGAGGCAACACTGTAATCCCAAAGCTTATGATGTGGATCCCTTTGCTGTGATAAGGAGTATATTTATAAACCGGGGTAATTACAATCGCCCCAATGAAAACTGGTTTCATCTGTTGTTCAAAACAATAGATGAACACCTATGACTTACTCACCAATGGTACACCAAATGGATTAAAACATTTTATTTCTTAAATAGTTTTTAAAAGACATAAAAAGTGCAAAACAAAATGGGGAAAAAAACTGATCTAAGGGGATTTAAACCCGTGTCAAATGTTTCCTCTACTTAAAGTAAGTCATCTTAGCTTTTCAACCTCTTACTTCAGTGCTTAAAACTCTGAAATCTGCATTCTTCACCGTAATTTATTCCTCTTATTAACTTTGGGTTTAAAATTTCATTATGTTATTAGAGTGAGGTTGCAGTATATTACTCAAGTGACACTCAGGAAAAGATTTGCAAACAGTTGGAGACAGTTTAAGCGAACAGCAAGAATTCCCCGCGATACGCTGCATTTAATTAAAACTCTGTACTGTATTATATAGTAAACGACTTTTCTAAATTATAGATTTTGTACCAGTAAATTAATATTGTTAATGCACCTCATTGCAGTTTTTCATTTGCCATAGTAAAAAAAAAAAAGAAGGAATAATTGATTATGTACAGCACGCATAAAGTTTTTTTTTTCTGTGGGAAAAGTCAGCATTACTGCAGTGGGACGGTCAAGTGAATATAAAGCAAGCCGACCAAGTCAGTGTGTTCCGTGTAAGCCATAAATCTCTTGATATTGACAATGGAGCACTTCCAGCTCTTACCTTTTTGCTTCAATTGTAAAATTATTCTCCTACTTGCTGGTATAGCAGCAACTTTCCTCATGCATTCAGACAGAAAGGCTGACAGCTGCAATGTGGCTTTTGCACTTCTTTGATAAGCTTTCAACATTACAGTGGTTTTCTTGTGATTGCAGTTAATTCTGATCATATTGGTAATGTACAGGGCATTCTAAGAGGCAGTGAATTGATTTCAGAGGTTTTGCGCGGCGGAAAAGATGTGCTTTTAATCCTGCCTCGCTAACAGGATTCTATGCAAGGACATGTAATTTGTGCTTCAGTATGCGCAGGTATTCATAAGGTGTGCAGCTAATCAAGCAATTAGTGAATGGGAGTGTGTTCAAGGTGCTCTCTGAGGGAAGAAGCACTTCAAAGATGCAGTCCAGCGGTGGTTACAGGGGCGAGACCGATGTTAAATCTAAAGCCAATTAGGATGCTTTTCAATCCATATGGTTTCGGGTCTTCTATTAAACCTAGCAATTTCCCCTTCGCTAGTTATTCAGTTTCATTTGCAATACATGTCTCCGCGGCAGGGCGGAGAAGTTTTGATTCCTTTTCCCTCAAGCTTGTTATGTTTGCAGACATGAGCGATGAGTCACGGCTTGATTGAGCGTATGCCATAGAACTTCACTGTCATCCAAACACGTTTAAAAAAATCATCCTTTGCTTTTGTAAACAGAGAACCGGATCCCTGAGCATGCTCACCTCTGACCCATGCTGAGTTACTCTCCAGAAAATGCAGCTGAGAGCTTTCACAGAATAAGCAAATCTTGGCCTGGTGTGTTGTGAATGAAAACCAAACCAAAGACTCTTGCTTAATATGTGGGCTTCTGCCAGGTCCCTAACATGGACACCTCCATGGTGTCTCAGCATTGGCTCTGACAGGATGTTGTGACAGTGTTAATGCAACTGTGGAGAGGAATGCAGGGTAAGTTACTGTTGTGACTCTCTTAATTATCCAGTTGTACCCCACAAGCCTTCTGGGACTCGGAGGAAAAACCTTAACCACGTTAGAAAATTGATATTGCCCATTGCAAAGAAGCACAAAGCAGCTGAGGTAGCTGCTTTGTTAAAGGATAAAAAACATTGTAAGGATACATTTGGTGTCCTTTTAAAGAGAAATATATAAATAAGATATGTTCTAAACCCGTCATTAATGTATAATCAGTTTGGAAAGAAAGGGCCGGTGCAGTCTTGTGCTTGCTGGGTTTAGTCACAGCTTGACTGCAGTTTGTGACAAAACAAAAGCGTCGTTCTAATTCTCGCCTCTAAGACTGCAAATATTTCTGTAGCAATCAGTGACAGTGTATTGTCTCTCTATATAACCATAATCCAAATCTCATCATCTCAAGAACAATCACGCCTCAACATCACTGACGGGCGTCTGCAGTAGTTTGTTTGGGGGGGGGGGTTTCGACACTGTTGCTTATTTCAGGCGTTTAATAATTGAGAAGCTGGCGTCAGCCCGGTTTAGTTTGATGAAAGTGCCATCTCGCTGGTCGGCACAGCTGGGCTGTGCCTTTCATTACGGCTCTGTGCAGCGCCAGCAGTCCCTGTGGATGGCAATGTGGAGGAACAAAAGCCAACAGAACATATTTACCCGGCTATGGCTAGAATGCAGTGAAGTATTGTATAGACTGGCACAGAAGGATGTCAGAACCCAGCAGGAGATGGTTTGCGGTCTGTTATTGGGGCAGAGAAGTCTAAAATGAACAGCTTCTGCGAATCCAAACATTTGTTATCATTTACTCCAGCTAATTAGGCTCCTGTTCAAGCTGAGACAGCTTTGTTGAGTTTTCACCAAAAAATCCATTCGCTAATGCCACATTTGCATTAAACGTAATATAAACGTGAGCAGGTGCCTCAGGGTGAAACTGTGGGAATTTTCGGACACATGCAAAGACATCACCTGAGGAAAATCCAATACTAACAGTAGCAGCTAACTGGAAGGGAGACTACATTACATTAGCATTTTCTTATATTGCACCCAATGGTTCTTTTTGTTTGTTTTTACATCTTAATAGTGATTTCAGTGGGATTTTTTTTTTAAACGTAAGAGCCACAACTGTAATTTACATAATTAACATTGTCCTAGAAGGCTGCATTGAGGTAAAGAGTAAACCAGTATTTGTCTTCCTGCATATGAATCATCACCCAAAAATAAAGAGGAGCCCATTGTTTTATGACTAAAAGTGTGTGACTAATGTTTTTCTACCCCAAAAAATCCATATATATCCATACACGTAGGAGATACCTCATGCTTCTCTGCCACCACCACCATGTTGCAAGCAGATTCCAGACAGTTGAACTAATAGAAAATGTCTGCTTGACTGTTCTGACCATGTCGAATTAAATACATCTAGGTAAAGAGTCCATCTGTTAAGCTGAGGTAATGAATGTCAACACTAAACTAAGCTAAACTATGTGGGGGGGGGGGAAACTGCTTAAAATTTTAATAAATAATATAAAATTTCTGTGGTGCTGTTATTTCCAGGTGCACAGAAATGCTAGATTATCATAGTGTGTTACCGTTACCACACTCTGTGCAGCCTTGTCCAGAATGAATTATATATAATTTTATTAAATGATGCCTGAATGTACTTGGAATGTAATAAAGGACAGGACTGTAAAGTCTGGCAAACACTTATGTAATCTTAAATTTGCAAAACAGTCTCCCTAACTTGCAATGATGAATTTATTAATGCAACGTGTCAGACCTTCATCAGGCAAATGTGCAAACCTGATGAAGGTCGAGCACTGAAATGTTGCTTTAATAAATTTATCATTGTAAGTTAGACAGTGTGCTGTTTCCAACCTGTTGGATGTGTTTGTCCCCCCTCCTACGCACCTGCCTCATGTAATAGATTTGCAAAGAGTTCCCTTGGGTAATCTTGAATTTAAAATAATAATAATAAATCTTGATTTATTTACAAAATTATATAATTGAAGCCACCTAAATTACAGTAAGAAGGAAAATACTTACGTTTAAATGAATAACATAAGTTAAATACATCTTATAATAATCTCATCTAGTTGTAAAATATGATGGAAATACTAGTATTTTGGGAAATTATTCAAAATTCAAGGGAAACTTTAGCTTTGTTGGGTTCTCTGTATAAACTTTGCTCACTAACTTATTATATAAAGTGCCTCGAGATAACGTGTTCATTTGGCGCGACGTAGATAAAATCAGCAAAGAAGTGTTTTAACCAGGTATCCTGTATCCTTTATACATGTCTGGCAAATCAAACAGCTG